TTTTAATACGTGAATACTTAGGACTCAGAAGCCAAGTGAAACTCACTACTGGGCATATATTTACGAGGGGAAAAACGATTGCGAACAAAGCCGAAAAGTGAAAAAACGATAAAGTGGAAGAACGTGAGATGAAAGCCTTTATGTGTTCGTGAAGCGTGAAAAATGTATCTCTTTTGCGTTTTCGATAAAACTGCTTGTAATTTGCTAAATGTGTGAAATAAGTTTCGAAAAAGTTTTGTGTTGGGCGATGTGTAATTGCGAAAATTTTGAATTTGAAATGTTTTTGAATTTGAAATGTTTTTTAAATTGAAATGTTTTTTAAATTTGAAATGTTTTTTAAATTTGAAATGTTTTTGAATTTGATTTTATTTTGAATTTTTTTTTTTTTTTTAAGTACACATTTTAATTTAATTCATTTTTTTGGCTTCCTTTTGAGCTCCTTTCTCCAGAGAGCTTTTTTTTTGAGGGGGTAGAATGAAAAGGATCATGTAATGTAGCGAATCTTTACACCTTGTGTACTGGCTAGCACATGTCTCCAGTATCACATGTGCATGCACGAAGGGGTGCGGAAGATGCATCACATATGTGTTAGGCACGTTTATATGTACATATTAGCTCAGCCGGGGAACGTCTACATACGTGCGTATGCATGTGCATCTACGTATTCTTGCTCATGAGGACATATACCCCTTAGACCTCCTCCCCCCTTTTGCTAAACACTCAAGTGTTTATTAATGTGTGCAGCACTTCTATGAAACGGGAACGTAGGGGAATCATTCTATGTTTAAACTGAGCCACCACTCTTCCACCATGTACCTGCTTTTTGGTGAAGCGGACACCCAAAACAAGGTGCACATGAGAGACTCACGAAACGCATATACATATAAAGGGTATGCCAAAGTGGAGCCATACATATGCAAGTAGCGGCATATGTTCATATGTATATTTGCATATTATATATATATTGTGCATGCTTGTACTTTTACGCACGTTTACTGTGCGCGCATCCCGAGCGCCGCAACGGATGCCCCTGCCGTTCCTCAAAAAATTATTCAAAAGTGTAAATGAACCTTTACACCTTTTTTCAGTAGACCCCTCTCCTGCATGCACATGGAGCTAAGCATATAATAAGAAACAAAAAGCTCATGCGTCCAACGCGGAAGAATGGCGAGAAACGAATTTTTACGTGATAATTCTTTTGGGTCACAAAAGGGATAAAAAAAAAAAAAAAAAAAAAAAATGTGTTCTATTTTTTAGAAATGTAGGTCTCTCCACATGATAACAGGGGGGTCCGAGGACGAGGTTATTGTTTTTTTTTTTTTTTTTTTTTCCCCATTTTGGGTGAATTTTTTTTTTTTAAATTAATATTTTTACCGTTGATCCCGAAACTTTACTGTTCGAGCGTCCCTCATCGGTTGATACTTATCGCAGTGCAAAAACGTGTACTTAGATACGGCGCGCGTTGAAGGTTCGCAGGGGGGGGTAGGCTATACTTGGAGACCCCAGTACTCGGCTGTGCGTGTGAGCATACATATGTATATTATATATGTGTACATACATATATGCGAACCTTTCGACGAACATCTACCCAATTGCGCTCGCATGAATACGGCGTGTTACAAATAAGCGAAAGAGCCACCGTACTTGCGGACACTTTCGCATGACCAAGTCTCCACAGCTAAATTTGTAGGAGTGGAAAAAAGCAGAACCCAGGACCCCCAACCCCATAAAAAGCAAGATGCCATTTCGCGATCAAATAAAACCGCACACGAGGGCGCACGACGTATGAATCTGCGAAACGCGTACACATGTATATATACATATATAAAGAGAAAAAAACATTTTTAAGGCTTCCCTTTTTTGCGCGCGTGTACCCCCTTGGTAAGGGAATATTTTCCAGGCTTTGAAAAACTCTCCATTTTATTTTTCACCACATTGTCGAACGGTAAACAAAAGCGAGGAGAAAAGGAAAAAATTAAAATAAAAAGTCCTATAAAAACTGGAATAAACATTTTATAAGCGAACAATCAATAGGGTTTTACAGCACGGTTTCAATGCAGTTTTGGAGAAGAATAAAAAAAAAAAAAACATAAATGTTTTTACAAGTAGGCCATATGCTAGGCCAAGCATCCTACGTCCCACACATTTACAAAGTGCGGCCTAAATACGTACTTTTTTGGTGTTGAATTGATGTGACGACCTTACGGCGAAAAAAAAAACAAAAAAAAACAAAAAAAATGACTGGCCAGTTCTGCAAGCTTTATAAAATTTCCCTGTCCTCATTTTTTATTCTTCAAACAGGTTTTTTTCTTTTACTTTATGATATAATATTTCCTTTTTTTCTTTTTTCTTTTTTTTTTTTTTTCCTTTTCTATTTAACAGTCGAATGGTTATTTTTATATGAAAATTCCCATTTCCCTCAAATGTTATATAAAAGCTGCAATTCTGATGGCAAAGAGGGGGAAAAAAAAAAAAATGTCATTTTGTTCCTACTGACAACAGGAAATATTGAATAACAAATTCGAAATTAACTCCATATTCGTTTCCCAAAAATCTGTATCATTTTTTTCTTTTATTTTGTTTGATAAATTTTTTTTTTTTTTTACTTGTAACAAAAAACCGAGTAGAGACACACCGGTACTCACTTTTGTACCATGTTTCAGCCTCAATTTTAGTGAAACATAAAAGTCACCTACCTTGCATATGCATGTATGTTTATATGTATACATACGTACATATGCTGTGCCCTCTTGTAACAGAAAGGTGTACGAGACAGAACGGGCCATTGTTATAAAAAGCAAAACTTCGACTTTCTCGCAGAGACAAATTTCCCTCGAGAAACTCTCTACAACATTTTTGTGAAAACCGTGGCCACTTAAAAATAAATAAAAGGAAAAGGAAAAAAAAACAAAAAGTTATTTAACTAGTTGGACTTAAATCAATAGATCAAACCAAATTTAAATCTCTATCACGTCGCTTACCCGTTGAGGAAAGTGACACTCTTCCATTTTACCCATCGCAAAGCGGAGAGAACCAGAATAAAAAAATCGGCCATTATCAAACGAACAGTGTATATATAAAGCAGTAAAAAAGTTATAACGGAACACCCACACCACCCCATGGATGCGTTTATTCGTACCTATGGTTACAAAAGAACATAATATGAGCAGCGGGGATAAGGTGGAGAAGGAGAGAAGCAAAGACCTCTTAAGAACGCTTCCACACCTTCCCCCCATGTAGTAGTTAAGTGCATACCCAAATGTATAATAACGAATGAAAAAAATGGAGGAAAGGTTAAACGAAGCGGAGGAAATATTTAAACACAGTGAGGAAGAGGTGCATCCAAGTGTGAGCACAAAAGGACAACACATTTATGAACCCATAAGCATTGACAAAAAAGCCGTAAATTTTAACAACCACATGGCGCATGCAAATGATCCCTTTTTATTAAACACAAGTGATAAAGGATGTAGCCGAGAGTACCATTTGCAGAATGCTCCTTATGTCAACTTAGTAAGTGCGTATGTCCTCCCCACGGGGCTCAGCATAAGCCACCCCAGTGGCGATAGGCAAAGCGAAATACGCCCAAGTAACAGGGAGTGTTGCATGGAGAGCCCCGTGACTAATACTCCCATGAGTAGTACCACTATAAATAACAGCCCTATGAGTAGTACCACCATGAGTAGTACCACTATGAATAGAAGCCCCATGAGTAGTACCCCCATGAACACATCCCAAATGACAGTGAGAAACCGAGCGGGGTATATTCAAAGTGTCCCCATCAACTACCAACTGGGGTGGACATACAGTAACGAGTCGGGTGGGAGCAAAACACAGGGTATCCCTCCAAGTGAAAACAACCCCAATGAACATAATAATGGCATTTCCCATTTGAACAGCAGTACCACTTCTATGCCGCATAATCCTTGTGCGTGTCCTAATTTACAGTGTGACAAGAATGGCGATGGAAACCTCCATGACCATCCCAGTGATGTACTCTTTAATAAACACCCAACTAGCGGTTTAGTGTACCATCCGGATGATGGGTACCATATCGGCAGTAGGACTAACTCAATCTATGTGAATAGAAGTATGGTGGAAATCCCATCGAGTGAAGGCTCCCATGTAATTCCCCCAAACGGTTCTACAACTAACACTGGTAGCTACCACGTTAGTGGTGAAGGGACTAATCAGGTGAAAAACCTGAACCGTGTAACAGCAGTGTTCCCAGATCAATGGAGTAATGAGGAACTTGTCACCAACCACGTGAACACATCAAACTATAGGATTAGGAGAAAGGGGGACAGTCCACATGATGGTGAATCATACGAAATGTGTAGCAGTGAGTATGAACCGACTGGGCAATCCCATCTACAACAAAGGCAATACAGTTTTGCCAGTAGTGAAGGGTGCATATACCCTAAAATATTTCAACCCCAGACGCAGTTAAACCCAAATAGAACCCTTCTAGTCAACACCAGTGATAGTTTCCCTGTTAAAAGTGCCATTCGGGAAGACGGCAATTTTAGTGCACATATGGACAGCAGTAGGGATGACCAACCGCTGAACCCTCGGCAGGGGATAATCCAATTAGAGAAACAAATGGATAGTACACATAGCACAAGGAAGAACCCATTAACCTTGAATCGAATTGTACACCCAAATAACTCCACTTCAGTAATCTCAGACAATATGATTGGCAGTTCCTATGTCCCCTTTGTAAATAATGAGGTGCAGAATGGCCAGAATTGGGGGGAGGAAAAGTTCTTCCCCATCAAAGGCAACTATCGCCTGAGCAGTATAGAAAGTCTATACCCATTCGATGGCAACCAGATGGGAGATCCAACCAGCTTTATGAAATTGTATAATAATGGTAATACTTCTTATGGTGAAGACACTCCTGAGGTGTCAGCATGGTTAACACGAGGGAGTTATTCCCCAAAGGAAGCTCTTAACAATTCCGTGAGAAACACTAAAGAGAGTCACAGCAGTTTAATATGTAGTAGTGGGGACGGAGGCACCTCACCTCATATGTGTAGTTCTTCCAGTGTGCATAACTTGACAGGTGCATATGACATGCCGCAGCGAAGCATGAGTAGTAGTTCACGCCAGCTGAGCTTGTTGGACGCACCAGACGGGGTGAATAATGAGGAGGAAGAAACTCTTCAGCGACATAGTGTGTACGACTTGTATGTACAGTCACTGTTGAATGGGGCTAGTGGAGTGATAAGCCCGAGTGGCGTTATTAGTTCGAACGGAGCACCTAACCCGAGTGCCCAGTGGGAGGAAAACAACGACCAGTTAATATTATATAATTTAAAAAACTTGGGCGCTAAAATCACGAACAAGGCTCCCCAAATGACGAAGAATTATTTGTCCTACTTAGATCATTACATCTCTTCCCTACGCCTGCTGTACAATAAACTACACAGCAACAGAAATTTGATATTCATCCTGGCGAAGGAAGTATTTGCACCAAAAAAAAAAAGGGATAAAAAAAAGTACAGTGACGATAACGGGTCCACATTTGAGAGTAAGCATTCGTATATACAAGAATTGTTAGCAGCTCTGCTACCCCAACCACCTGTCTTCCCACCATTAGAAATTTGGATCTACATGGGAAAAAAAAATGCCAGCCAACTGCACAAACTGCATCTAACAATATACATAATTTACCAAAAAATTATTTGCAACATATCCAGTATCCTTTTAAAAATCAACAACGATATGGTGAGTTATGCAAGTAAGAATAAATTTAGCAAACGCAATGGGACTGACTCGCTTAATGATTATGTGAATGAGAGTGGGGAGGGGGTGAAGAGAAATGAAGTCCCCTTTTTGAGTGCTTCAAAGGAAGAAGCTGTATTGGGGGGACCCCACAGCAGTGAGTACGTGGCGAAGAGGGGAGTCCGGGACAGGGAAGGGGTAGTCGACGTGGAGGAGGTGGACTATTTGGTCGACAAAGGTGACTCGGTTGACACGGCCCACGCGATTCGCGAGACGGACGACGCGATGTGCGTCCCCGTGGAGCCAAATCTTGCGACGCGCTACAACAGGAGCCCTTCCCAAACGAAGGAAGACGAACCGAATTTCCAAAAAGGAGACATCTCCAGGAATTGCCTTTTCCGAATTGACCAAAAGTTAGCCATTATGATGGCTTCAATTGATAACATAAGCAAAATGATAAATTTGGCTTCAAAAGGGGGAGGACGCAGTAACAGCAGTAAGGACCCCTCAGTGGACGACGCCCCCGATGAGGAAAGCAAAACGACCAACGTGGTCACCACAGAACAAGACAATGTAGACGAAGACGGGGGTAATAACATCAAGCAGGATGACAAAAGTGGACTTGAAAAAGAAGGCAACATCGTTAAACATACTCAACGTGTAAGTAAAGGCATTTCCCCAAGTGGGTGTTGCCCCCCACACATTAGCATTAGCCCTAAGGATGGTCAAATAGTTGCGTATGATGAAGTAAAAGGTAGTGATGATGTACCCCTCATTCAAAAAATGGCCAAGTGTAACTTGAATTATTGTAACTCCATACACAAGGACAATCCTGTAAAGTTACTAAACGAGCTAAAGTACGAACTTAGAAATGTGTACAACGAAGTACGCTCTTTGATGAGGCATGATAGTTACTACCTCTCAAGTAAAAATAAGGAAGAGGCAGGTAGCTCCTTAGAATTGGTGAACCCTAATGATGACCATGGGGACGATTATGCTGTTCCGTCAGATGGCACTGCAGTTTCAAATATGAACATAAAAACGGCAGACGAAACGTGTTTCTTAAACGATTTTTTAATTAGCCAAAGTGAAAGTTCCAACCCATTGGTGAATGCACACACACAGGATTATTACCCTTGCACGAGTAAAAAAAATGAAAAAAAGATTAAGCTAGAGAATCAAAATGAACTACTTAACAATCTCATAAATAGTAGTATTTGCTCAAAGGAAGAATTTAATAACGACATTATTTATGACCTGAAATACACAGATGATGTTTTTAAGAAACTTTTATTCTTATGTAGAAATTTTTACACAAATTTATCAGAGTATAAAGATTATGCTTTGGAATCATTTCACGAAAATGAAGTCGACTTAACTAATTTGGATGATGTGAACAATTTTAGGTACATGGACAATCAGGCATTCTTTACCAAAAGGCCACTTCTCCCGCGTGGGGATTTACTACCCCAACAGAATTTTCCAGCAGGGAGGTACCAACTGGAGGCGAGAAACACCCCCCACATGTGCAACGAAAATGGAGACATGGACATACACAATATTGAGCAAGTGAATGACCATCCCTTCAAAGGGGAAAATCACACGTCCAATGTGGCGCCAGTCATAGACAACGCCGATGGGGATGACGGCGTTAACTCGGGCGAGGAAACTCTTCTGAGTGAGGACCAAGGGGGATCAACGAATTGTGCAAAGTACGTGAGGTATGCAAAATTGGGAGGTGCCTCCATGTATGATACATCTGAGGGTTCCACTCCGAACAATCAGGAAGGTCTCCCCCTCTTTGGAAGGAATGCCCCCTGGGTGGAACGACCGATGGAGAAGAAAGAAGATAAAGAAGGTACACACCAAGTGGATTCCTTTTTTGCCAAATTCGATGGCCAAGAGGAACTGATGGAAGCATATACAGAGACCCCCCAAAGTGCGATTTTGCAGATGGGACAAATGGACAAGTACACAGCTGGTGCATGCACGGGTAGAAAGGAATGTGAGCGTTATAGCCCTTCTTTCTCAAAGGCCACTAATGGGGATTACGAACAAATGGAACTAGGCTTCAGTAGGGCCGCGGACGGTGGTGCAGAGAGTCGCGCCTTGCATACCTCGCCAGATACGCTGTTTAGTACCACACAAAGTGGACTGCACTATAATTACCATAATCAGCAACCTGATGCCGACAGCTACGCCCATATAAGAAGTTCACTTCTTACGGATACATCCCATGTCAATTCGGAACACCCATATGTGCAGCGTGCACTTGCGTCTGAAGGAATTATTGGCAGTATGGATGATCCATATGTACAGGTAAAAAATACGGAAGATTTAACAAGCAAGGGAACGTATATGGACAATTCCTACATGCAAAACCATGTGGGGGAAGCTAAAAAGTATGCTTATCTTTTAAACAATGCACAGAATGTGTACTACCCAAATGAGGACAATTTGTCAATAGGCTTTGAAAACACGGAAGGGATAATCCCTAACGACTGTGCCAAGTATGAAATGAGTATTCCCAACGCATACTCTATTCACACGAATCGTAATGTGAGAAGTGGTGATAGCTTTCAAGGGTTTAGTACCCCAATAACGAGGTGTTTAAGTTCTGATGGGAGCTGTGTTGGAGGGGATATCATGGGGAATTGTGTCCAAGTGCCCCAATCCCCATACCATAAAAATCAACCGTTCGGGATGTTCAATTATGTTGGTGCGAATGGGTTCGCGGCGACAGATACAGATGCACAAAACGATAAGGGAATGAATAGACACGTAGGTTATTACACGGATGAGAGTGCAATGCAGAGTATGATTAACTACCAAGGGACACAAAATAATTTTCAAAAATGTAACGGTAAGAAGGACATGGGAAGTCACCAATTTGCAACCAATGGGTCAACAAATAATTACATGAGTGCTGACGAAGCAGGGATGATGAACCAGTTTTCCTTTAATGACGAGGAAGCAATCAACATGCACCGCTTGGATAATATGCCTCAATGTACCTCCAGCTACCAAATAACACAAGAGAGAAATACTTTTAAAGATGTCCACAAGGAAGGGGAAAACTTGGTAGAAAAAATGTACAACCATAATGGGAACTACTTGAATAATATAGAATTGAGAGCAGACACTACAGAAGATGTATCAGATAATGAAATGAATAATGGAGGAGGGAACCCTGAACAAGCCATGGGAGATGATGAAAATACCTTTGATGAGGGTTCTGCATACTTGTTAAAAAATGGCCTTGTGACAAATGACACGTCTGAGCATTGGAAACTCATGTCAAATATTGCAAACAACCTAAGTGGAGAGAAGAGCGAATCTTTGAATGGAGCAGAAGACATGAACTCAGGCAACTTAAAGGCAGAAGAAATGGTGAGGAATAATGACCCACCAGATGCTGATATATTATCCCCCGAATCTCCAAATGATTACCCAAACATGAAAAACGAGAGAAGAGATCACAGTTTAACAAATGATGAAAATAAAATCAAGTTAAGAAAAATGCTTGAAATTACTGATAAGCTAATTGGGAAGAAGTACAGAGGGATATCTTACGACCCCACCCGAAATGGCTGGTCGACCTTTGTATATAAAAAGGGTGTTAGAACGAAAAAGTTTTTTTCCTCTTATAAATACGGAAACTTGTTAGCTAAAAAGAAGTCCATTGAATGGAGATTAAAAAACTTAAGTCCAGATTCAAATGCATATGTCTTTTCTCTAAAAGCGAAAGAAGAATTTAATGCCATTTTAAATGATGGTTATGCTGATATAAAAAATATGAACTGTGATATGAGGGATGGGGAAAGCAACGGGGGTAGCTCCAACAATAGGGACATACTATACGTGAATGCTTTTATAAACCTTCTTAATAATTCACAAGAAGGGCAGAAAGATGAATCTGATGAACCCGATGATCCTTTATGTCAAATGGACAAGTCGTCCCATGAGGAATGTGCAGAGGAGCTTACGAAAAAAGGAACAAAGGATGGAAGTGGATCAGCCAGTAGTGAGATCGCCAAGTCGCTCGAAGAGGCAAATTACAAAGTTGCACCAGACCTCGGTGGAGAAGTCGGTGGGACAAATGTTGTAAGTAATGATGATCGCACCGCAAGCAGCGTCGATCGGGAAACCCCTTGCGCAAGCGAAGACAAGACAGAAGGTGAAAAAACAAATTACGAGGAGAATAATTCAGTGGCACAGATTGCCAATCTGACTAACCACTTGTGCGATCAAGCAGATGGCTGTCTACACACGGATGATGATTTTCTCGTTTATAAAAAATTCTGTTCGATATTACTCAATGAGGGCGAAGCGTTGAGAAGTCAACCAAATGGAAGGGAAGCAGGAAATGGGTCAAATGTGCAAAATGGGCAAAATGGGCCAAATGAAGAAAAGGGAAAAGTAGACAATTTAAATGACGCCGCGCAAGAGGAAGCGAAACAAACGCCAGGAGCAATTCCAGATCAAACAGCGCATTTCCAAATTGTAAATAACCAAAACGAGGAACCCATTGTTTTCCCCCATTCAAATGATGTGTCCCCTGCACATTGTGCCGCACTCGCCAGTGATGAGGGGTTAGACCCACGCATACCTATTAGAGATAACTGCCCAATTACGCCACGTGGAAATAGGAAAAAGAGAAAAAGGCACATCATAAAAGGTGAAGGGAAGAAACCGATAGGGGAAGGGGGAGAGATTATCTCTCCAACAGGAGAAGCAAACGTTACTGGAACCGGCGAACAATTCAGTAGTACGTACGCCGCGCCCAATGCTTCAGCGGGTGGTTGCAGCGACAGCAGCTACAGTGACCTGTACGGAAGTGACACCCGCAGCTGCGATGGTCCAAGCGGTAGCCGACGCCATGACCGTCCTGATGGTGATGGGAACGAGGAGAAGTTCAAGCGGTGGATGGACAATGGCCTAATCCAATCGATAGAGGGAAGTCACTTCTCCTTTGAGGAAGAAGACAGGTCCTGCAAAAATGACGCAGTTAGGGACGACAACTCAGAGAGAACCCTTCAGTACGTAAAAGAATGCATATCAAATAATGTACATTTGAAAAGTCTAAATTGTGGCATAGGAAGGAACGACCACAACATGATCGATACGCTTTATAAGAACGTACGGTGCTACCCACATGGGAATAGTCTAACCAGTGGGGAGCCCCTTCTAAACGGTGTATCTGCCCCCAGTGAAGAGAGCGCTATAAAGACATTTTATCCGGTAGAATGTAGGAGCATTCCCCAGGAGAGGCTCGTCGATGGGATTGTTAATCGAGCAGAACCACAGCACATGGGTGGAGAGAAGGACAATAATTTGTGCTCGGGGGATATAAGCATAAACCGTTTCGTCGAACTTAGCCACGAGGTGGAGAAGCAGGTTGCATTTCAGCATGAGAGAGACCTCTTCCTGGATAATAAACGAGCAAATGACAAAAATTGTCTCCTTGAGAAAAACACCCTATTGAGGTACATGAACGAGTGTGTCTACACAGGGGAAGAAGAAAAGAATCTTTTTCACCAGTTCTTACAATTAACCCCCCAATGGGTTCTCCTGCAACTAGACGAATTGGAACAAGGGTACCATGCATACTTCAGGAAAAAAATTGAATCATTTTATAAAGCCTACTTAGTTAAGATAAGAAGACGAAACAGTAGTAACCTTAGGAAGGTAGCAGTGGAAGGGTCTTATCGTTCAGCCAGTGACATGCCTCCTAAACGCAACGATTATATGAGAGAACTTCAACTCATTTTTGATAAAAAGTTGAGTACCCTATGGACATGCATGATTTTCCCTGTAGATTTCCTTTACCTATTATACTACAAAGTTTTTAGAATGTTAAAAAGGATGAATAAGGACAAGGTTACAAATGCCAAGGAAGAGAAAGACAAACAGTTGAAGTGTATGTTGAAAGGAATAAATTTCATCAAGTATAAAAATGCATGGTCTTTTAGTTATATTGATTTGGATGATAAAAGAAAAGAAAAAATATTTCCTATTAATCACTACGGTTTTGTGGAAGCAAAAACATTATCCATTTTGTACAGAAAAAACTTTGTTCTGCATTTATCTAAAATGTATACCTTTTTGAAAAATGTCTTGTTAAGAAATAAAAAGGAATCGGGAACAATCATAACTAAACTGATCAACCCCAAGTCCATAAATCATTTTATAGAATATTATAAAAAATATGAGGAGTTCCTCATTTGCTATGGCAAAATTGTATACTTTTATGAAAGCAAAAATGTATTTCTAACGACGCAGAAGAAAAAGGATGCTTTGAATTATGTGCCTTTTGAAATAAGACATAAAATGTCTGCAGAAATAGAACCCTTAAATTTAATAACTGCAACCAGAAATTATTTTTCTAAAAAATCACAAATGATCAACTTCCCCAAGGGCATAGTGTACCTCTCTGGCTACTTCCTATGGGTTCTATTATTCCTCAATCATAATAATAAAGAAGTTGTTATCTCCTTTTCGGCTCGCAAATACTCCTTCGAAACAGCCAAGGCAAGATGCTTCGAGTGCTACTACTGCTTACTATATAAGTACAAATTTCGCCCCATCAACATATCAGGCGTTGTAGACCTTATCCTGGAGACCGACTTAGAGTGTAAAAATTATAATTTGCTGGATTACCAAGCGGAAGAGATAATGCCTCTAGATTACTTGTTCCATTTTTTTGCCCCTTCAAATTATGTGCTTCAAAATGGGGTCATTTATAAAAGGCTTCTTCTTAATCAGCACCACCGGGAGGGGTACCAGTGGAGGCAGAAATACGACTCGCTCTTCCCGAGTGAGTATGTCTCCTTGGATACCTTTCAGACGTACGAGATTGAAGATGACTACTCTTTGGCCATGAATGAGGTGCATGGGGATTTGGGGCCCAATGAATCGGTTGATGCTACACTGAAGGGGTGCATGGACTTAGACGGGGAAGGCTATTATACGCACGTGAACCTGCTCAACGATGCGGAAGTAGATACCCACGTCAACCTGTTTAATGACGACGAATCTATGGGGCAGAATCAGTACTTCCCGTTTGAGTTGCCTTCCCTGAGCGAGGACCAATCCGACTACTACCCATACGATATAAAAGAACATAACGAGGGTAGCGAATACCCAGCCCAACATCATCGCCGCTCATCGGACAGCTTGCTGCTTTGTCAAGACATGGAAGAGGTGAAGAAGGACACCACCCCTTACTTTACGGACGACGAAAATGGAAAATTGATGCGTCTGAAAAGGAGGGATAACTGCTACCTCGAAGGGAGAAGTTTCAAACGGGGCAATTACACCAATTTGAGGGAATCCTCGGAGGAGGTGGACTCGGTCAACTGGGATGAGTACTACCTTCACAGTGACAGCGATGGAAGCTTCGGTAGTAGCGATGGATATGAAGAAGCGGCTGAGGACGAGACGAAAATTCATGGCACATATGACCCGAGTAATGAACGTAACGAAGACTTCACAATGTTGCGAAGCGAGAGAGAAGAAATGACCAGCTTGGGGATGCAGGTGACGTGTGGAAATTCAAACGTAAGGAGTCTGCATGGGGGGCAGGACAACGGTGAGGAGTACGAAATGGGGGAAAACCATCCCACAGTTAATGCTGCAAATGGAAGGGGGCAAAATGGACAAGTCAGTTCGGACACTACAGAGAGGCATAACGACGAGGAAAATGATTATCATCATGTGGAAAAAAAGGAACAGACAAGGGGAGGCGTGATTGGGCAAGATTTATACACAAAGGAGTGCAGCAATCATGAGCAAAGTACACAAGGAAGTAAAGCAAAACATTTTATAAACAGCGCAGAATATTATAAGGACGTTTGGAATAAAAACATTTTTCACTTCCTCGATAACAACATACAAGACGAATATTTAAAAAGAAATTATGATTCACTGTTTAACAGTCAGGACGAACAAAATGTGGTGTTTAAAAAAATGAGTGCAAAGGAAGAACACCTAGGAGTGTTCTTAATGCTTAATTGCCAGTGGCTTTCAGACTCTTTTGTACATAACATAAATCAAATCGAAACAAAGTATGCTGATATTTATTCCTTTGAAAATTATCTGAACACACGTGAAGAGGTTTTAAATTGGAAGTGTGAAAAAAATTTTATTAAAGACTGCGCTGGTATTGCTAAACAGTGTCCTCGAGTTGTTGGGGTTCACTATGATACGCGTGCCCAGGCCTGGGTCGTCAACTGTACTTCTAATGGGAAGAGACGGAATAAAAAATTTTTGGTGAAAACTTTTGGCTTTTTGCAAGCCAGGAAGATGGCCATCGCCCACAGGAAAAAGTGGCAGCAGCAGAAGGTCTTCCACAGGATAAAACATGTCAATGGGAAGAGAGCGTCTCACGTGGAGACGCTTTAAATGGAAACAAACGAGCAGTAGGATCAACAGCGCAGCAACTGCTGTTCTGGCATAATCAGTCCTTTGTAAGTGCACTTTGAAACATTCTGGCGATAAGAAAAAAAAACGCACCCCATGTTTTATAACTTTTGTCCTATGCAGTTTCTTCTTCATTTTAGACAAAAAAACAAAATTTATTTCACATGTTGTGCATTACACGTGTAGGGTATATGTATATATGTGCTCATGTGTGTCTCTTTTTTTTTCGGGGCAGTTCTCGGAGGGATGAATTACCTCCCGGCAGTTGGAAATGAGAACCCCTCATTGTTTTTCATTCCCCCTTACGTAGTTTACATGAAAGCACCACTGATTTTCGTGGCTCCTTTTTTATGATAACACTTTCTTTTTTTACCAATTGGCGGTGCCAACAAACGATGAATAGCTGAACCTACCACGAACCCACATGGGTCCTCAAAATGGGTAACCCCTCCCCACAACCTTACGGTTAGGATGCGTATTTTTTTGTTCATTTAATTTTAATGGTGGCATTAATTCAGTACGGGTATTTGCTGCTTCAGCTTAGTTAGTGTTAGAATGGGAAAAAATAGAAAGATGTGCAGGTGCGCGTTAAAGGAACTTTATTCTTTGCGCGATAAAAAAAAAAAAAAATGGGAACCGCGCGCAGGTCTACAAATGTCTGCTTGTGCGTAAGCGCCTGGGGATGTAGCTGCACATATGGGACATCCCTATGTGGAAAAAAAAAAAAAAAAGGGGCCAACATGGGCGTAATAAATGGTAGAGAAAATAATAATAAAAAAAAGTGATACATTTCAAAGTGAAAAAAAAAAATATATAAGAGCGCTAACGGTGGGCAAACGCTGCCAAACGATTCCAAACGCTGACATCAGGGAGATCTCCCTTCCAAATGCTGAGTATGTATCCCTGACGTGTAAACTTCTTCATGAATTTCCCTCCAATGCATGGAATAGAAGCACGGATGTAACAAGTCATGCGAGAGCTTCCCTTCTATTTGTACCCCTACAGGGTGGGTCCCCCAGAAAGGATGTCTGCGCCCGCCTTGTCCGAGAATAAGGTAAAATTGCTAATAAACTCCTTGGCCAAATTTTGAAGGTTTTTCATGTAATCCTCCTTGTCCTTCCATCCAAGGACGGGGTCGAGAACTCCTTCAGGAATGCCATCAACACGTGCAGGAATACTAAAGTTAAAAATGGGGGTCTGCTTATACTCAATATCAATAAGCTTATTCTCGTGTATGCAGTCTACGAGCATGCGCGTGTACTTGAGCGGAATGCGTTGTCCATTCTTAGAACCGTAAGAGCCATAAATCCAGCCAGTATTTAAGAGCCATACATTGGCCTTATGTTTTTGGTATTTCTCCGCTAGCATTTGTGCGTACACCATGGGATGGTGAGCCAAGAAAGGAGCAGCATAGCATGAAGAGAAGGTAGCTGTTGGTTTCAAGACGTCACTTTCTGTACCTGCCATTTTACTAGTATATCCACTAACAAAATGGTACATCATTTGATATACATTCAATTTTGAAAGAGGAGGGATAACTCCAAAGGCATCACATGTCAGCAGAATAATATTTTGAGGATGTGTATTTACATAGGCTGGAATTTTTGCATTTTCAATATAGGATAGAGGATAAGCACATCTCGTATTTTCTGTTATGGAACAATTATTATAATCTACTTCTCTGGTGACTGGATCCATAACCACATTTTCAAGTATAGCACCAAATTTAATAGCTTTATAAATTTCAGGTTCTTGTTTCTTTGAAAGTCCTTTACATTTTGCATAACATCCCCCTTCAATGTTAAATATTCCATCGTCTGTCCACACATGTTCATCGTCTCCTATGAGATACCTATTGGCATCAGCAGATAGGGTTGTCTTTCCTGTTCCGGACAGACCAAAGAATAAAGTCACATCATTTTTCTTCCCTATATTGCATGATGAATGTAAAGGTAATTTTCCTTCCAAAGGCATTTTATACATAAATAAAGTTAAAATTCCTTTTTTCATTTCACCAGCATATTGTGTTCCTAATATAATCATATTCATGGCACCGAAATTTATTATAACAGATGTTTGGCTTGACATGCCGTCCGTTAATCTGTTCGAAGGAAAATCACCAGCATTGTATATAATAAAGTCTGGAATAAAATTTTGTATTTCTTCTACATTTTTGGGGGGGATAAGCATATTTAACATATACAGTGCATGGTATGCTCTGGAAGTGATAACTCTAATTTTAATTCTACACTTTTCATCCCAGCCTGCATAGGCATCTATTACGTACAAGTTTGGCTGCAAGTTTAAGTAATCAATTGCTCTGCCTTTGTTTATTTCATATGATTTTTCCTTCAAGGGGATGTTTACCTTTCCCCACCATATATGTTCCTCTGAGGAACTTTCCTTTACAATCCTCTTGTCCGA